CCCTCAGTCTGGCTTTAGTTGTCCCCTGTGGAATTGCCCTCAGGATACTAGCCACCCTCACTGGCAGCAAGAGTCTCTCCATCTTCTCCCTCAGTCATCAACTTGCTCACTCCAAGTGTTGCTCCTCCTGAACAATTATCCAGAGACAGCACTCTGAGAGAACCAGCAAATTAACTACTATATCCTGTTAATTGGGTTCTCAACCCCTCAGCTGCAGATCGGCACTGGTCCATGGCCCGTCAGTAACTGGGCCGTGCAAGCAAGTGAAGCCCCATCCACCCATGTGCGGTATCCAGACAGCAAACAAAACCATGCCCCCCTCGGTCCACAAAAATACGCCCTGTATTGAACTGGTCCCTGGCACCCAAAAGGTTTGGGACCACTGCTGTTAATGCTCTCTCTGTCCTCTCTTGAAACATAGCTGGATAGGCCTCAAAAGAAGCACACCCAGATTTTCTTGGATTTCTATCCAAATTTGATAAAATCATTTTCAGACATGGATGTTGGGGGAATTCTCAGTCCTATTTTTTCTGTTAGCCCCTGAACCAGCTAGCCTCAGATGCGGTGGTCCTAAGTGGGGGCTTGGTCTGTTTTTATCTCTTCCACCTTACAGTATGTGTTCAAATTGTAAAACAATCATTTCCGTTTGAGAATGCTGTATTAGCTTCATTAGTCTTTGACAGTGTTCCTTATTATGCATTAATGTCTATCTTCCTCCTCAGCAGCCCCAGTTACAGGTAACCCAAACCTGGAAGCAGGTTGATAACTTCCTTAATGTTTGCCTGAATGAATTTTCCAGTGCATATATTCTAGTAGGTGGGGACTTCAACACAAAAGCAGGTTGTAATGATGGAGTTCACTATGGACTCTTCAATTCCTATTGCACTGAAGAAGTAATTGAGCCACTATGTCTAGTTCCTTCAAAGATACCAAATATAACTTTATGGCTTTAGGTTGCTACATATAATAAATTATTATTAATAGCAGCAGCAACAACAACAACAACAATAATAATAGAGTTGGAAGAGACCTTGAAGATCTAGTCCAACCCCCTGCTGGAAACCGTATAACATTTCAGACAAATGTTTATCCAGTCTCTTCTTTAAAACTTCCAGTGTTGGACCATTCACAGCTTCTGGAGGCAGGTTGCTCCATTGATTAATTGTTCTAACTGTCAGGAAATTTCTCCTTAAGTTCTAGGTTGCTTCTCTCCTTGATTAGTTTCCATCCATTGCTTCTTGTCCTGCCTTCAAGTGCTGGGGAGAATAGTTTGACTCCCTCTTCTTTGCAACTCCTTAGATCAGGGATGTCAAACTGCTGGCTCATGGACCGGTTGCATTATACCAAGGCCGTGCCCACCCCAGCTCTGGCAATGCAAAAAAAGTCATGGTACAGTGCAACACGTCACGTGACAGGGCGAGTTTAACACCCATGCCTTTTATATTGGAACACTGCTATCATGTCACCCCTCATCCTTCTCTTCATTAAACTAGACATAGCCAATTCCAGCAACCGTTCTTTATATGTTTTAGCTTCCAGTTCCCTAATGATCTTTGTTGCTCTTTTCTGTACACTTTCTAGAGTCTCATCTCATAAATAGGCTTAACCTACAGGGATATTTTTAAAGAAATGTGTTCTTTTTTAAAAAAATATCCATATTTTTGCACAAACCTGCTCCTTCTGTTGCACAACAGATTCTGTGGAAAATACGGATTTGACTAGTTTCCAATTATTGGACCTGGTGATCCTGCTTTGAAATTGGATATTATTAGCTTGCTGTTGTAGGTCTTACTTGCTGTGACATTTAAAGTGGTGGTTTTTGTTCTTGTTTTAGTAAGAGTAATTAAAGGTAACGTGATCTTTGAATGTATGAATCGGAACAAGTCTTCTGGGGGGCTCTTAGTAGCAAAACCTCACCCAAGACTTCTAAGCAGGCTCCAGTATAAAATGAAGCGTATCGGGAAATGATTGCAAAAATGTTTGCTACTCTGGTTTAGTTTGAAGGTGGATAATTATATGTTAGAGAAAGTTACTACGTTACCAGAATTCTATTTCTTTACAATTATTTGCTTTCACTTTCCCTGAATGCCACTGGCAAATCTGTCAAACTGGATTCCAAATGCAATAGCCTTCAGGCTTTTATCTCACCAGAAATGATTGCCCTCTTTATCAAATAAGAAATCAATTTTTAGCTATGGTTCCTAACATCAAGCAGCAGGTGGCTTTTCTGAGTAAATGGTTGCTGCTATGATTTTCAACTGGGCAAAAGTTACATATATTTTTGGTGAGTTGTGAAAAACCTGGGCTGTTGTTTCATAAAGATCAAACCCTTTCTCACTAGTGCTGTGCATTAAGGGCAAATATATTAGAAAAAATGCCTGGAAAACTGTGGATCTTGTACTGCATATGTTGTGACTTTATCCACTATTAATGATCTTCATGGCAAAAAGCCTTTAAAATTTCTTGGGGACAGCAATGTTTCCAAGAATATAGTTTGTTTAGGCAACAGTTTCCAAATATACAGAAGGAGATATCTGTTGCTTTGATTCCCTAAGAAGTTGAGAGAAAGCCAGTAGTTTTAAGGTGTCTGTTCTGCACACCTGAAGACAAAGCAGACATTAATAAAAAGAAGTTTCAGTATTTGACATATGCAGGCTTGTCTGTTGGCTGATCCTCTAGTCTATGTGCATGAGTCAAAGTTTCGTGAATGATGAAACCTTGCAAAATGTTCTACAGAAATTTCAGCAATTTTGAATTAAATATCTAGGGTAAAAATCTGTTGCATGAATGGCTCTTAGTCACTGTCACTCTTATTTATTCATTTAAAACTCTTTGGATTGCAGATGGGGTTAGCCTTTAAATTGAAATGCAAGTTTGGGAAAAATTGTGAACTCTTGTTTATTTATTTTTGCCTGGGTTTTGAATGTTGTTGTTATAAACTCTAAATTGATAGTACAATTCTTAATGCCAACAAATCAATTACACAATCCCAATCAATTGTGAAGCTTTTGTGGCTTGTGTAACAATTGTACATGAGTTCCAAGCTTCATAGTATAATTATTATTGACTTATTACATTTATATTTCATCTTCTTTCCAAGAAGTTATAGATGATATACATGGTTCTGCCCTCCCAACTCACTCTTGCAAAAGCTATCCTATGTAGAATGTCTGTGGAGATTCTCAATCATCCAGGTCATGGTTATCCCAAAGGTGTTTTTCCAAAAGGCAACTGGACTTCATTGGGTTTTTTTTTCCCTTGAAAATGTTTTGGTTATCATCCAAGAAGCTTCTTCAGTTCTGACTCATAGGACCCACCCTATGTAGTAATTTTAAAAAAATCTTATTTCCAGTCCAGGTTCAGTGTCTAAATCAAGGTAGCCAAACTAATATACTTTAACTAATATACTGTTAAATTTCCCACAGCTCAGGCAGCAGGACCAGTGGCAAGGAATTATGGGAATTGTAATTCAAAACATCTGGTTGGGACCAAGTTGAACTGCCCATTTTCTTTTAAACCCTTTGATGCTATTGGAATCTCTTTTCTCAGGCCAATTTATTTGTATTTTTGTAAACTGACTTTCCATAGAGGCCGGAACTTGTCACGGTTAGGGGATAATGGTTCCTAATGTAGACTGGCTTGCAGTGTAAAATATAATTTGCCTATTTACGTAAATATATTCTGCAAGTGTTTTGCAGATTAGATATTGCTATTTTGTATGTCAATACTGCTCTGAGCTGTAGCTAACTCAAAGGTGAACTTTGGACAAATACTCATTTATTCTCTCCTTGCAATTTGAATCCACCTATTTCCAAATCTGTGTAATATGTAATATTCAAAACTGCAAGAAATCCAGAAAGTAGTAACATACACAGATGGAATTAGGTAGTTTTCTTGTAGGCAGTATTTCTTCACATTATTTATTTAATCCTTTTTCTTATTCGTGCCTGGATCCTGGCAAAGTTTTACGGAAGTGAATTTGAATGTACTGTGACTCAAATTCATTGACATAGTTACATCAATGCAAATTCCTGAAATGTCTCAATATTGCCAAACTGTAAATCTGTGACGTCACAGGTCTGCTATAGCTTCCGCTCCAGTTAAGAAGTTAGGGCAGCTCTTTCTTTCTGCCGTCTATTCTGTTTCCTGTTTCTACACACTGAAAGAAAAAGTTCCAGGAGGAATAGAGAACTTGCTGTAAAAGAAATGCAGTCTTAGCCTCTGGCAGTTGTGTTTTACTCAGCTTTCCAAGCCTGTCCATGCTTTATTGCTCTGCTGGTTTTCAATATCTAACCATTCAGAATGCTCCAAACTGGAATGCAGTTTCGACCGAGCTCTTTCTGGGTTACAGGGTGAGTGTGTGATAAACTATTATGTTGCCCTTAAATAAGATGTGATAGAAGAAAGATAGATTCCAATAGAGTATCCGAGGCAGGTTTAGTATTGTAATGTCAGGGACGGTGTGATTCCATGATCATATAAGTAGAAATTTGAAGTCTGGGTCTTTGTTTGGGGAGATAGCATATGAAATGGCATGAAACACAGTTTTGATCTATTTGTGACATCTTCTGTTGAAATCTGCCAAAACCTACACTTTCTCCATGGAGGAGTGCCTATTTCTGAAAATGTGAACATGCCATTTGGCTGGTAGATCAGGGCAGACATATGAACTTGTAAGTCCAACTGTTTTGTTGGCAGACAGCCTAATTCTAAAAATTTGAGTTGTACATCCGCATTTCTTGTTGTACTTCTGACCTGTATCTGATTGTCTTTATTGAGGATATTAAGCAAGGGTAAGACTGTGAACTTTATATACCCAGTAAAGTCCAGCATATATTTGATAAGATAACTAAAAATACAAAGCTTGAAAATGAGCAGGCTTTCCTAAAACATGTTATCCAGAGGTATACTTAATCAGAGAATTGGGACTGGCTGAGGCCTGCTATGTGGCTTGGTAACTGTTTAATGTGTTCCTACTTTTTATTTATCCCCTTCTCCAGAATCTTGGACTCTTTTCCTCAGAAGCCCAGAATGGCAGTGGATGTAGCCATGCAACTCTACCTGCGGGCACCCTCTTTGCGGAAAGAGAGCTTTGCCTACAAAATAGCCCCAAAGATCAAGAAACCTTTGCGACCCTGCATCCATGTCAACAGCAGCCCTGTGTTGAATGAGCTGGGGGCAGAGGTCCAAGCTCTGCAGAGGAACAGGGTGAAGAAAAGGGTTTCTTTTGCGGACAGCAGGGGCTTGGCTCTGACAATGGTGAAAGTGTTCTCAGAATTTGATGACTCCTTGGATATTCCCTTGAATATCACAGAACTGATAGACAATATTGTGAGCCTGACCACAGTGGATCACGATGACTTCGTCTTGGATTTTGTACAGCCTTCTGCAGATTACTTGGACTTCCGGAATCGCCTGCAGGCAGACTGCGTTTGTCTTGAGAACTGCATGTTGAAAGATAAAGCTATTGTGGGTACTGTGAAAGTCAGAAATCTGGCATTTGAGAAGGCCGTCAAGATTCGGATGACCTTTGATACTTGGAAAACCTTCACGGATTACCCATGCCAATACGTGAAGGACACCTATGCCAGTTCCGATAAGGATACGTTCTCCTTTGATATTAGCTTGCCAGAGCGGTTTCAAGCCCATGAAAGAATCGAGTTTGCAGTGTGTTATGAATGTGATGGCAAAGTCTACTGGGATAGCAACAAGGGGTTGAATTACAGGATCATCCGCTCTGAACTCAAATCGGCTCGGGAGATTTCACAACCTTGTAGTGAGCCAGATTTTGGGATTGCTTTTGATCAATTTGGAAGCCCCCGGTGTTCTTATGGTTTATTTCCTGAATGGCCTAGCTATTCCGGATATGAAAAACTTGGCCCTTATTATTAAATCAGACACTTTGGATTATATTTACTGCACAGGAACGAAGAGACAGAGAGAGAAAACCCTCTTGGGGAGATGGTTGCAGAGTCAGAGTGGGCAAAAGAACTGAAGGTGTACTTACAGAATAGAAACAAAGAGACACGAGAAAACTCCTGGCTGAAAGGTTTTTAAGGCAGACGCTCTCTTCATTTTCCTTTGAATTTAAACAAAAGGAGATGGTCTCCTGTGATATGGATGCCACAGATCGAATTTAGTACTTGGTGCTGTAGTTTGGGCAATTTGGTTTATGTGCGTCCTTTGAGATACATTACAGTATTGTCAGCTGTGCAGAACAGATTTCCCTCCCCCCTTTGTTAGTTTTCTGTACTCTCAAATCAAACTTGCTATGCACTTCTCTGACAAAGCCAACTTTCTGAGAAGAAACAAGTTGCAGGGATGAGCTAAGCGGTGTTCCCCTCCTCTCTTAATCAGATTGTACAATCTGTGAGAGGCTAAGAGTCCCAAATGGAAAAGACTATAATTTTAGTTCAGATGATCCTTTGCTTCTTTCCATTTTAGGAATTGCCTTGTTTATGGGAAGATTCCAAAATGCTTACTCACCATTCTGCCTGTATTTCTTTTCCTAAACCCATATGTACATTTTCTTTCAGTGGCTGAGTCAGACAAGCGCTATGTAGCCTAGTCACACAATCCATCCTTAACCAACCTGGTGCCCTCAGGATGTACTAGACTTAAGTTCCTATGATCTCCAGGCAGGACAGTCAGTGGCCTGGAGAAGGTCGATGTAGCATTTTAGCTCCCATAATAAGTAATAATTTTATGTAAATGATTTTACTTATCTCTCTCCTCCCTCCTTTATTAAGTGGTGGTGGACTGTTAAGAATAAAATTGTTTTTAAGTCTTAACTCGTCATGACACCATCTTATTTAAATATAATTTTGTTTGGGGCCTGCTGGGCTTAGTCATCTGGGTGAAGAACATTTTAAAATTCCATTTTGTTTTATGAATTTTATAAAATGTCTATAAATTGAATGTTACTGACATAAATAAGATATCGTAGTCAAATAAAGGATACCCACTGAATCCAGTTTTCTGTTGCCCTCAATGCTTATGCTCAATAATAGGAGCATTTTAACTCAGTGGTAGAACAGATGTTTTGAATTCAGACACAAGAATGTTTGGTCTCTCCAGAGATGTTAATATTCTGTGTCAGATCTTTTCCCAGCAGGCTGGATTAGACCAATTAATAAATCAGTTTTTATTACAGCGTAAAGAAAGTGGGCTACAGTCAATTAAAAAGCATAGAAAACACATCAAAATCTAAAAAATAATTATGATAAGAAGCTGAAAGACAAAGCAGAAAGTCTGTGCATAAAAAACAAGCTTAATGGGGAACTGAAAGAAGGTATAGAAACATTAGATGGGTGTAGGGGAGCATAGAGATTAGATCAGTACAGAGCACTCTAGAATGGTGAACTAGATGTTCATTAAGGCTGCTTTAGGCAGAGGTCATCACCTGTTGGATTTTAAGTGCTGGCAACAAATATTCTAGCAGGGTTAATATCTGAAAGCAGCAGGAAGGTGTAGAATTGTCCTGAACATATGGGCATTTATGCAATGATGGCAAGAGGAGCCTAGTGCAGGGGTAGGCAACCTTGGCTCTTTTATGACTCTGGACTTCAACTCCCAGAATTCCTGAGCCAGGAATTCTGGGAGTTGAAGTCCACGAGTCATAAAAGAGCCAAGGTTGCCTACCCCTGGCCTAGTGTGAATGTCTCCGTAGTACAGGCTCTGTAGGAGTAAGTACTCTGTTGTTTCTGTGTGTCCAGAGTCACGGGATGTTACCTTTCTGGATAGGGGATCTTCCAGTATTCGCCTTCAGCAGCAGCTGAGGGCATGGCATGGCATTGTGGCCGAGTGAATTAAACAGCCATACAAGAATCGAGGAACTTATGTTAGGTAGCTTTAATATAGAAGAGCTAAAAGCCAGTATGGATGGATTCCAGTGGCTACTGTGTATCAAACACAAGTCCTTTTTATAATGAAATCAGTATCCAATTTCTTGTCAGTTTCTTCCGACTGAACTATGCAATGAGCTAGACTGCCCTTTCTTTTGACAGATATCCTGATCTTTTCTTTGGCAATGGACATATGTAGTATGAAATGAAACACCAAATTTCCTATGTTCCTGAATGCTGGTAAAGTTGAGAAGGAAAGATGGTTCACCAAAAATGGTAAATCATTCGCTGTACGCAGAGCAAAATAATCAAAAAATGTTGCCTCATCTTCATAAATTTATCACTATTTCTTTTCCGAAATGTTTTTTCCTATTGGCAGATGCCATAGTAAACTACAGGTGATAGCCATGTTTTATCATTTATTGGGGCCAATCCTTCTCTGGTTCTTGTTTAACACTAAAGAAAGCCATTTAGACTTTCCACCTTAATAAATCCAACTGACTAGAAGGTTAAACCATTTCAGTGCTTGTTTGTAGTGTCAATAACAAAATGGTGAAATTACTTGATAGCTCAAATATATACATACTAGAGTTTCGTTAAGATCAGTTGTTCTGGCTCCATTCAATGATAGACTAAGTAGCCCCATAAATAGTTTTGCTGTATGTGAACTAGAACTGAGGATTTTAGATTTAGTACCTAATATTCAGATGAAGTTCTTACGTTCCCTGTTCTATCTGAAAAATCTTGACTTGGAAAGGGGTTCGTGCAGACTCCTATGCAATTTTGGAGAAGCAGCAGTGACCAAGCCTGATTATTTAGTGTGATGCAAGAGTCTTTCCCTGGAATGTTAGCTTGTGGTTAAAAATAGGGAAAGTCTGTCAGCATGCCACGGCTTGTTTCTTAAGAAATCTGAATCCCCAGCATTTCCTTAACTCTCCATAATGAGTCCTGTCATTTCATTTCCATGCCTTCAATTTGAATTAAGACTTGGCACTGGAGCTGTTAGAAGCTGTGGATTAGAAACTTCAGCACAAATACCCAATTGGGCTTAGTCATTGCTGCTTTAAAAATAAAAAAAATAAAATCTCTGCAGACGGTGTGCTCGGCAGATGTAAGCCTGTTATGATAAAGCCGAATCCAGACAAAGTGGGGACTTGACTTCTCCTGCTTGCTATGGATCTCTTTTCCCATTGCCATTTGAAAAGGGAGAGCATGGCTTCTTTCACAATGGGGTTTAATCTGAGGAGAAGGATTTTGTGGCTGAGCCACTCTGATGTGTTGACTAATACTTTCTGTGAAGGGAAACTGATCTAACTGAATCTTCTGGTTGGTTATATGACAGAAAAAAAGCATTTATTTTTTACTTCCCCAAGAAATAACCAGTAATCGAATGCATTCATTAACTGCTGCTTTAACTTAAGTAGCAAGATTTTCAAAACCATTTGGAAGTGAACCCACTGAACACAGCAGTACATATGTTCAAAAGAAATATGTATCATAATCCTTCTCTTCCTGAAGACCTCCAAATGGCTGCAGGGGATGATGGGATGGTTGTCTGGAGGGTCTGGGAGGGCTTGAGAAGCAGGAAAAGGCTAATGTGTAAATTTGTAGTTAGAGAGTAGAAAGTTAGTTTAAATTACAAGTTTGGGATTGCAGGTGGGAAGTTACTGTAGACTACAAGAAATGTTTTAATCCTTGTGTATATTCAAGAAATAATCCCCGAAGTCATGTGCAAAATCCGTTCCTTCATGCAACCCCTCAATAACATTGCAAATCGGCTGTTCACAACTGCCTTGCATGTTGAATTAACATGCCAAAAGAAAAAAAAGTTAGCTGGAGTAACTTAATGCATTATCCTTAATCTTCTGATCAGGACTATATGTGTCCCTATTTAGATAAGGTTTCTTCCTGTAAGCCTTGAAACATGACACATCTTTATAAAATCCAGATCCCATTCCTGGCTGGGCTGTAATGGCTTCCTCTGATGGTATGTAAAATTATCCTAAAGGTTTTCAAGAAAGAAAGTCAAAGTATCAAACCTTATGCCAAAGTGGCAAGGACACAGTTTGCTTAACTCAGAGGCGCAAAACTTGAGTTTCGTGGTCTGAATGTTCCTCTGATTGAATTTTGAAAATATGAATAATTTTAACTATAACTAGTGCACCTCTGCACAAAGTCATAATGAAGTTTGCTTGGTTTGGCTTTGTTTTGTGGATGACCATTGGGTTTGTAAACCCTGGCCTATTGAGTCAATGTGAATCCAAATAATTGGCTTATTTAGCAGATCCAGCTTATTGTGATGTGACTAGAGAGAAAGAGAAAAATTGACAGTGTGAAATGCATACCCAGGATGGCTATAACAAATGCACTTTTATTTCAGTCTTTTTTCAAAATTGTAAAGCCAACTTCTTGGACTTTTGTGTTTCTCTTGCCTGTATGAATGTAATGAGGAATAGTCCATTTTTTGCTTCAGGATGCCTTGCATGTTGTTAAATATATTTTTTACACAACTTAAAAATGCACTTTACAATCACAATGGATTTATTTTGTGTAGTGTTTTTTGAAATGTTTTTATCAGAGAGCAAATAATAAACTGTTACAAATAAAACATGCATTGGGTTTTTCTTTTCTTTCAAACAATGAATTAAAGACATGGGGGAAAAAAGATATTTGACAACTCCTGATGAGACAAAGAAAACTTTACAAAAAAGAATAAGATTTGGGATTTGTTCTAGATCAATGTTTCTTAAAGTGTGGTTCTGGGATCTACAAAATCAAAATTATTTGCCAGCTTACGTGAAAAAATAAGCAGCAATGAATGTGTCCATTCTAATTTGTAATATAGAAAATATTGATAAATGTAATTCATATAGAAACCTCTTTTGGGATCCCCCATAATTTTTAAAAATGGAAAAAGGATCCTGAGAGAAAAATGTTTAAGAAACACTGTTCTACATGAGAGTTAAAAATGAAACCCTCAGTTTACTTAACTCATGTTGAATTCAGTGGGTGCAATTATAGTAGACATCTATAACAGCACTAAGCATTGTTCTTTTTTAAAAAGTATTTTTTCAAAGGCAAGAATAGCCCATTACACTCTAGAGCAGGGGTGTCAAACTCAATTTCATGGAAGGCTGCATCAGCATTGTGGTTGCCCTTGGGGGGCCAGGTGGGTATGGCCAGGGTGGGTGTGGGCTACTGGGTGGATGTGGACAGTGGGTGTGGCCTATTGGGTGGGTATGGCCAGCTCTACATCATTCGCATCAAAGGTGCTTCTGGGGGCCTGGGCAGGAGTGGGACAGATCTGAGGGTCTGGCAGAAGGGGGTGGGACCAGGGCAAGTGCCAAGGCATGGTCCACTGGAGGAGCCTCACCATTCCTCTCAGGCCATGTGGGGGGGCTGGATGGTGGTGCGGGCTGCCCAGAGCCCTGGGCAGCAGAGGTCAAATGCCCAGCCTGGCCCTCAAGCACCCATGGCACCAAGCCCAGCCCCACTACCCCAAGGGGGCACCCAGCTGCACTTACCTCCTCAAGGCTGCTGCTGCTGTGCTTGTCTCCTTAGCCATGATGAGTACGAGGGCAAAGTCAGAGGGAGGCCCATTCCATCTCCATGGGAGGAGACCCGGCTTTGTATCCAAAGCTTCCTTTGCAATAGGATGGGAGACCCACAGGATAGGCCAGGAGGAGGGGGCAAGGGGATGGTGAAAGGGCAGCAGGGCAGGACTAAGGCAGGACTTCCCTCAGACCCTCCCTCTCCTTTCCTTCTTTCCTTTCTTCCTTTCTAAGGACAGAATGGTGGGAAAACATTTGAGATGAGGGAGGGAGAAAAACAGGCAAGAAACGCAGCTGGGGGGGGGTGTCACCCTTTGTGAGGAATGAAGAAATGCACCATCACCTGGAAGTGGCCAGCACATGGCCCTCACCCACTTCACATATGTGGCTTGGTGGGCTCTGGGGAAGGGATGCTATGAGCAGTGTGAGAGTTGTCGTTACCTGTGCAATGCCGCCCAGCCCCCAGCCTGCCTGGTTTCAGCAGGCAGCGAGGCGCTCTCCTCACAGCACCGAGAGGCTGAGCCAGGCGGCACAGATCTGAAAAGAAGCATGACGCCGCCCAGCCCCAGCCTGCCCAGTCTTGGCAGGCAGCAGAGTGCTCCCCTCACAGCGCCAAGAGGCTGAACCAGGCGCCGTGAATCCAAAAAGAAGAGTGATTCCACCCAGCCCCCAGCCTGCCTGGTTTTGGCAGGCAGTGGGGCACTCTCCTCACAGCGCCGAAAGGTTGAGCTGGGAGGTGCGAAGCTCGCCAGCTTTGCACCTTGCTGCCTGCTGAAACTGGGCAGGCTGGAGGCTAGGCAGCATTGCACTTCTCATCAGTTTCGCGCCACCCGGCTCAGCCTCTCGGCGCTCTGAGGAGAGCACCCCGCTGCAGGCCGAAACCCCTCCCCCGGAGTCCATCAAGCTGGATAGGTGAAGTAGGCGAGGGCCATTTGCTGGCCATTTGTAGGCGATGGTACATTTCTTCATTCCTCACAAAGGGTGACACCTCCCCAGCATGCACCCAGGAGGCGGGGCCAATGTGGCAGGGGCTGGTTCCTCACTGTTTCCAGACGGTCTTGTGGAGCTAAGACGGAATGCGTTTTAGCATAGATGGCCACCACAAAATTGTACATTGGCTCCCGGATGTACAGGCTCCAGGATGGCTTTGTGGGCCACATGAAACCACGGGCCGCATCC